TGATAACTATACCTCCAATACCGTCATCCAAGTCATTGATAAAGATGTGCAAACTTGCTCAAACATCGGTTGAGCCATATTGGGCAACTGCTGCATAACTCAATACATGTCAAATTGCTCTCTGTTTCCTCAATGTAGAATTTCAGCCATTGTGCATCTTTTTTGTACATTGTGTGCATCTGAGGAAGTAGACCAAGTCTATGAAAGCTGATGCTACAACTTGGTCCACACCATTAGTCTCAAAGGTGCTGCAAGATCCCTTTGCATTGTGTGTATTCTGATATTGGGAAAGGTTCATTATATTCAGAATAACTGAATCACAGAATTGTAGAGTCAGAAGGGACCCTAAAGGCCACCAGGTCCCTCTGCCTTCTGCTAGGGCCACTTAAGAGGTGGCCACCCAACCTCTGCATAAAAGCCTCCAATGAGAAAGAGCCCAACACATTCCCGGACTGTCTGTTCTGATGCTGAACAGTTCTCCCCATAATGCATCTGAGGAAGTAGATTCAAGTCTGGGAAAGCTCAGGCTGCCAATTTCAAAGGTGCAATAAGATCTCTCTATGTACCCGTTCTCCCCATGAGAATTTTTTCCCTAATATTTATTTTCTAGCTCCTGTTTAAAAAATGCAAATGAAAGAGCGTTCGCCCCAGATATCTGTCCATCTGTTTCTTCCCAGAATCCCCCATGGGAGAGAAAAACTGGTCAAAACAGGTCAAAGCTGTGATACTTGAGTTCTTTGCAGGGCAGGAAAATGTGGGGTTGCTCCCCCAGAAATGCACCAGATGCGAAAGAAGACATTTCCTAAACCTTGCTCTCTGTCTCTTCACATACAAAAGCAATGCATGATGCACATCTCTGCTTCTACAGACTTTGCTTCTTTACCTTTATCTTCAGGATCAGAGAAGCTTAAGAGGTGATGTGATTAATTATCTCAAGGGATGCCATATCAAGGATGGAGCAAGCTTGTTTTCTGCTGCTCCAGAGAATAGGACACAGAGCAATGGGTGCAAACTCCAAGAAAAGAGATTCCACCGAAACATTAGGAAGAATTTCTTGAAAGTGGAACGTGTGGTGGAGTCTCCTTCTTTGGAGGCTGGGTGGCCCTTGGGGTCTCTTCCAACTCTATACTTCCATGGTTCTATGATCTTGAAAAGAAGAGAGAGGGATGGATGGCATCCAGTGTTCCGAAAGAGATCTAGGAGTCCTAGTAGACCACAAGTTGAACATGAGTCA